TCAAATTCAGAATCAGAGAATTCAGTAGTGGTTATCAAGTGCTAGGGTTTGGGGGATATGCTAAATTGTCAGTGGATATAAAGTTTCAGTTCGAACTTATTCAAGATGAATAAGTTCTAGAGATCTGCTATATGTATAGTACCTATGGCTAATAGTATGCTATTTGCATTTCAAAATTTGCTAGGAGAATAGATTTTATGTTAAGTGTCCTTACATTTTACAAAACAAACAATATCACAAAGGGACTCAAGGGGACTTTGGTGGAGAGGGCTTATGTGCCAGTGTTTATTGGATGTGAAATCTCAGGGCAACAAGAATGAAGGCAACATTATCAGCAGCAGCTATCAGTTGTCTAGAGTCATAGAGAGTCTTCTGATCACTTGTGCCAAGGAGAAGACATGAAATAAAGTTTCTGTTCTATATAAATTTGAAAATCAAAAGTCTTGACAAAGTTGAAAGATTCAAGCAGGATGTTTTTCTGTTTTTGCTACCTCTATACTCAAATCTCCTGGCATTAGAGAGATAAAAACAGCTGTATCTTACACTACAATCGCAACAGCAGAACTCCACCACCAACCTAGATGCTTCTTGAAGTAAGGACAAATATGAGGAATTCAATGAGACGTTATACGTCCTTCAATCTATTTTTTTCTCACCAGGGGTGAGGGTAGGGCTGGGGGTGGTGCGAGGTTGGTGGTAATAACAGGTGGAAGTTGGAGCTTTTGATGAAGCAAAAGATGTTGGTCCTGCTTTTTCCTATTTGTTTTCACAGAAATTGGGGAGAAAAGTGTATTTCCTTGAATCATTTTTATTTCCAATTCTGTTTCTCTGAGATACAACAAGCATAGCACAATTCTAAGATCCATGATAATCTTCTTAACAAAACCTGTATTCCTGTGAGTATTCATAAGGAAGAGTATATAACAAAACCCAGTAGGGATTCATAGTGGAGGAGGATATTGGATCCCAAAGAACAGCAGTTTGGAGACTCAGCTCTTATGGGCTGTGAAAATAACTAGAAGTCTGAGCTTGAGCTCACACTAGGCAAAAAGCTAAGGCTTCAAATTAGTTCATGAATTGTTTTTCCCATTGTTAATGGATGTTACTTCAACAGATGCAGAGATGTTTCCCAAATTCCTTGAAACATAGGAAATGGAATTTTCCAGAAAAGTATTTGTCATTTTAAAAAATAATACTCCAGGAAGACTTAAGCAATAAAATAGTCATGTATTTCTGCAGAACATGGAGTCAAGAGAGGTTATCTTTTGCAGCTACATGTTTTGTGGACCTTATTCCAAAAGAAAAAAATATTTTCAAAACTGCTCTAAATGTGAATTGGTAAAGGTTAAGCTACTATGCCTTCATACCAGACAAGACAAGCATAACCTGTTTTACAGATCTCCAAAAGAAGGCTCTAGTTCACCTTGAAAATGTCTAAATATCAAAGAGTTTACTTCTCAATAATGTCAGGACTTATGTATTTCAAGAGTTGCTTAAAATTATCACTAATTAATATTATCAGAGCCAAATTCACAGCCAAAACTCTTACGCAAATTCAAAGTTCTTACCTAAATATTATGTGCCCCGAATTATCAAATAGATGACTATGATTGAGATATTTAGGTAGTTTTAAGTGGGTAGGGTTTCGGAAGAAATAAGATGAAGAACGGTTCTACAATTTTCCTTAGCCAGCAAAATGTTTTTGTATATTTATAAATTTACTCTGAAAGCAGTTTAATCTCCTTAATCAGTTTTGTTATATACAATCTATAGTAGCATTTATATTATTAAAAAGTAAACATATATTATGGATGTATAGTAAAAAATTTTTCAAACTTAGGGGTATGTAATTTAAAAATTCAAGACCACTGCTTTAAAGGAATTCTCATTTGGAGAATCTATGATTCACGTATTTTTAAAAGTTACAGGCAATGGCATATACATCTTCAAAATAAGAGTGTTGACAAAAATTTTGTTTCACATAATCTGAAAATATAAATTTGTATGTATAATTGAATATGTCATATCTTAAATCATAAAATCAGTCAACCAACCTACAAACTCTCAATCTTTATGAAAACTCTTTTCCTTAATAATTATACTCTTTAAAGAGCTGAGTCTCACACAATTTCTACTGAAAATAATCTGTTTACCACTTGATCAGTAAATGTATCAGTTAATTCTGCCAGAAAGTTAGATATTTAGCAAAATATTCAACGTGCAAGTTATTTTAACATCATGCAGCAAAACAAACAAATGGAGTCAATTTGTGATTGATTTGTTGCCATTGCAAAAATGAACACATACATAAATCCCAGCACATGATTTACTCTTTATCCCAAGAAAAACAAGGTCTCTTCTTAAGTTGGAATTCAAGCATGATCATCTTGGAACAGATACCATACTCTTAGTAAAATTAGTGTATAACACACATGGTAAATCACAATTTGCCCTCAGTTATTCATTATTTCCAATTAATCTATTCATTCATGCTAGTGTGGTAGATTATACTTGTTATTGTTAAATATAGATAACAATGGGAATAATAAAATGCATGCTCCCATCTTATAGACCAATAACAACTAGTGCCAACTCAATCAATGTTAACAGAATGTTAAAATTGGTCTCTTGGAGCTGGGGATTTAGCTCAGTGGTTCCGCCACCTGCCTCACAAGCACAAGGTCCTGAGTTCGATCCCCAGTACAAAAAAAAAGTCAAAATTGGTCTCTTCATGTTTTAGTTTCTGCCCAGGCCCGGTGAATACTGACTCTTGCCTTACACTAAAGTGAGAAGTTAGCCCTCTAAGAAGAGACTTGCAAGGGAGATACACAAGAATCAGTTTTTCAACACATTAGTCACCACCTCTAGCTTTTAAATGGGTTGCAGAAACTAAGAGAGGGGCTGGAAATTGGAAGAAGAGTTTTGAAAATAAGAATGCAGAAATCTCTTTGGCATACATTATTCACACTAGCCAAAATACAGAAACATCTTAAGTGTTCATCAACAGATGAATGGATTAAATACACACACACACACACACACACACACACACACACACACACACATAAATGCTATTCCCCTATAAAAAGAAAACCAGGAACAACTTGAGTGAACCTAGGGGATATTATGTTAAGTGATATTACATCATGCACAAGAGAGACAAATACCATACGATACTTACATGTGGTATCTAAAAAAGATGACTCTGACATTGAGAGTAGATTGGTAGTTACTGAGGCTAGAGGTGGATATTGTGGATGGGAAAAGAAGAGGTGTTGTTCACCAGGTACAAAGCTACCATTAGATACAAAAATAAGTCTGATGTTCTTTAAATAGCACAGTGGATATATTTAATAATAAGATGTTAAATGTATCAAAATAGCTAAAAGGATTTTAAATGCTCTCACCACAAAAAATAAATACTTGAGGTAATTAAATGATAATGAACTTAATTTGATGATTACAAACATATATAGGAATATAGCCTTGTGCCTCATAAATATATCTAATGATTATGTTTCAACTAGAAAAATAAAACTTTTTAGAAAGTAAGAGTTAAAATTTAAAAAAAAAGAAACAAAGATAGGAAAAGATTTTGGAGAGTATTACATTGTGCGTGATCCCCCCCCCCGGAAGTAGATATTCTTTTCCTCACTTCAAGCTTAATATAAAAGTGGCTCCAGTGGGACCAATATCTTCAATAGGAGAACTTGGACACACTGTAAACTAGGCCTATACTAGGGCCTATACCTGAGAAAACTAAAGTAAAAGGTACTGGCTAATTAGGTGCTCTGATAGCAGAAGAAAAGAGTAGTCTAAATCAAGATGGACCTCAGTCATCACAGGGCAAAGAACTTGGAGGAATTCCCATGAACTAATGTGGATCAAGAAGGTGACTGAGCAGGGTATTGTTTCAGGTCATGACTGAGAGATCTCCTGGGAAGGTGAGGAGATCTCAGCAAAAACGACTGGAATATCTACTTAAGGCCAGAGAAAATGTTATTGTTTACATCAAGAACTCCTATGAGAAATTTCTGGTGATGGTGGAGTTCTCCAAAAGCAAGTGACAAGACAGTCAGCCTTAAACGCCCACACTAACGCTGGATGGCTAGAACAAAACAGGACTTTCTGTTGATTCTTAATCCTCACCTTCCAGTGGCCTCACTTGGAGAAACCAAAGGCAAGAAAATAGGAAATAGCTCATGTCCCTTAGAGGAGCCCCCTGGAGGACATCTTGAATCAAGCATGAAGTGGAAGAGTAAATTTCTTAAATTTTTTAAAAAATCATAGCAGTATTATGTTGTTATTACACATTTTACTGAGACTCTTTGGGGTAGTAGTAAAATAAGCAGATTTTTAAAAACTCTTTTTGAAAGTTACTAGAAAAGCTGCAGTGTCCATTGTATTTTCATCCAGTACCAAAAAGTAAAAAGAAAAAGAAAACAATCTCTAAAAACAGTTTTGAACTAAAGTAGGGGGGGAAAGTTGAAGTGATTTTTCTATCATACATTACAAATTATGCTTTATAAGCTGATTATTTCAATTATAGTAGCTAAAATTTTACAAATGCATATTATATGGCAGACATAGCCTGTATTACATATACTAAATCATTTCATCCTCATAACACCCCTACTAAGAATTCATTATACTCATTTTCTTTTCTTCCTTTTTTTTAACACTCATTTCTTGATGAGAAATTCTGATGTGGGGAGAAGTTAAGTAACTAGTATGTGGAAAAGCCACTTTTATGGGATATTTCAAGTAAATCAGAATTATATTTCTTTCCACAAATTATTTTCTTTCACTTCCCAAATACTAGATATCTAAAGTGTAAACCACAGCCATATCAGCTAAAATGCGCTAACACTTTGCAGAGACACGTAAGGCTTTGTGTGATTAGCTATATTTTGTTTTTAGAACAATAGACCCTCATAGAACATAGGTTTTTTTCCCTAAAATATATATTTCACCTCTTTTTCTTTTTTTCTTTATTGTAGGCATGGACAACCACTACTAAATGAAGTACAGCTGAAGGGTCGTGACCTCCTGACTCTAAAGGACTTTACAGGAGAAGAAATTAAGTATATGCTATGGCTATCAGCCGATCTGAAATTTAGAATAAAACAGAAAGGAGAAGTATGTAAATTCTTTCTTGACTTTCATTAGTACCAATCAGCTTTTTCAAAGGCAGTCTTCCCAAAGATGAGGGAATAGAAAATACATTAAAATTCCTAAAGAGTAGCTAAGTAATGAAACCTCACAGTCAAGGTAATTGATTATCACTGTGTGTACAGAAATATAAAAAAGCACAAAAATCAGTTATTCTATGACAAATAATTGTACTTCTTTCATGTGGAATGCTGAAATTCATTATTAACTGGATCGGAACTTAAGGAATCATTTTTATACCTCCCTGCTTTTGTCTATAAATTTTCTATCAAGGTAAAAATAATATTTTTTCTAGCAACAAATTTGAGTTCAGGATGCATAGCAGTTATAAAACCATTGAGACAATATTTAAAAATTCAGTGATGTGATGGCATTTATAAAAGCATTTCAATTAGCAAAAAAAATGGTAGGCAAGTAGGGGGAGAAATGAGATATGGTGCTCAGCTCTGAGAATTATTCTGTGTTTTGAGCAATTTAATATGTGCTTAATTAATGCAGTAGCTTCATTTAACTGATAAATTATGAAAGCATTTTGGTGTTTCAAGCTTGTTCAAAAGCTTTTTGGAGGTAGTTTCAGGTTGAGAAAGTTCAACATGACATTAATTTTGTCATCTAATTGGCTAGCTTTCAGAACGCCAAAGAACAATCTGAAGACAAGAGGGACCCAACTAGTGTGTGTTGATGTTCCTACAGAACAGATGAAATGCAGAGAAAAAGTCTCTCTAGACCCCAGGCTTTTGTTCTTCACCCTCTGTGTATGAGGAAAGTTAGCTGGCAGGAAACTATTTGTTCCAAAACTCATCCTATCAGGATGTCCATCAACAGAAAGGAAGGAGGAAGAGCCATACCCCACACCCAAATGCTACAGATTGTTTTCCAATAGCTTTCAAAAACAAAGCCCTTGTACTCCCATGAGGATGCAGGGTGAATGTGTAGTTGAAAATCTGATGATTCACCATTGACCCAAGTAGGAGTCTTAGTGTTCCATGATGTGACAGAGTAGCACGTTGTTAGCTGAGAAAATACCTTTGAACCAAACATCTTGGAGGTCGTCGAAAATTGATTGGCGTCTCAATGAAGCTAAGTAAGATAATAGTTCCATTATGAAATTTTATTATACTTCGGAACAAGTTCCCAGATTGAACTTAGAATAATTAGTACTACTTTCTAAAAACATGTCAGTAAGCTATCGGTGCTACTGTTTCTTTTCCCCAAGTGTATTGGAAATAGAAAAAAAAAACACTTTAAATTCACTTTTTATAGACTATTTTGCAAGAACCAGGAATGGCGGCACTTGCCTGTAATCCCAGTACTTGGGAGGCTGAGGCAGGAGGATAGCCTCTCGTTCAAAACCAGTAAGTTCAAGACCAGACTGAACTATATAGCGAAACCCTGTCTCAAAATTAAGAAACAAAAACCCACAAAAATATTTTGAAATTCTTAGTAAAGACTGTGTTTTAAAACGTAATCCTTCATATTGGATATAAAATATATTTTGCACTTTCATTGTAGTTCTGTACTTCTATTCTTGATTTTCAGTATTTGCCTTTACTACAAGGGAAGTCATTAGGCATGATTTTTGAGAAAAGAAGCACTCGAACAAGATTGTCCACAGAGACAGGTGAGTCCACTGAAAAACTCACTCTTGCATTGAAGTTGTGGGGGCTGGGCAGAAAGATTAGCTTTGTCTGCAGAAGTTCCTGGAAGACTAGAGTAGAAGCCCCATGTAACTGTTTATATTCAGGGCAAAATGTAGATAGACTCCAAATCTCAGTCCTCAAACTCATGTAAGAAATGTGTCTATTTTTATAACACGTGAAGAACTTTCTCTTTTGTGCCCCAGTTCTGCTAGATGGTGGAAACTTCTGCCACGCCAGGCAAGCATCAGCTCTTTCAGGGTTTACTTTGTCAATTTTAGGTCTCTTCTTTTCTTCTCAGGCAAAATCCTGGAGGGTATCTCACTGTTAAGATATTCAGGGATATGTGGATGTGGTCCTTGATTGCTAGAACATCACCATCAAATTTCTATCCTGGAGTGAATCAGGACTTCCTGTATTTTCACTGTATCTTATCTACCTCCAAATTACTACAGGCCTTTTCCTTCCCACGCTGATTGCCATACCTGAGCTATCTCTTGGCTTGATTCACTCAGCCACTAAATAGCTCCCCAAACCACACTGGGCACAGAGATACTGTGAGGCCATCTCATGCTGGTAGCCAGGAAGCTCTAGAACAGGTGTTCCCTCTTGAGCTCTGACTTAAAAGCAAGAATCATATATGGTATTCTCAGTACAGAGATTTCTTGAACTCATCTGAGGCTTCTATCATGCTCCCCACCCTTTGGAAACTGGTCTGAGGATTACACAAGGCTCCGTGTCAAATGCCCATCAACTTCTACTTCTTTTTCACTTTCCTTGATTCTCTTCAAGTTCCCATTATTGGAGACCAGGTGATAAGGTATGAGAAAAAAACTGGCCTTGACTATCCATGTGTTCTTCCAAATCTATTGTTTGTGCCTAGAATCCTAGGCTATTGAAACTCAAATTTTGTCATCTTTTCTCAAGCTGTTATCTCTACAATGCTTTCAAAGTCAATTTTGAAACTTATAAGCTGCACATTTTTTTCTCTCTCCATTTTGGCACTATCAGATCTCTTATTTATTTATTTATTTATTTATTTATTTATTTATTTATTGAGACAGGATCTCTTTTTATAATTCAGACTGACCTTGAATTCACTATGCAGCTCAGGCTGACCGCAAAACTCACAGCAGTCATCCTGCCTCAGCCTCCCAAGTACTGGAATTGCATGCATGTGCCACCACACCTGGCCCTCAGACATCCTTTGAATGAATAATGTGCCTGCCCAATGGACAATCAGACAGAGTCGAGGAGGAAATAAAACAAACAAGCATATTGGTTGATTCCACAAATATCGTACCCTACCTTACAACCATAAGACTTTTCTAGAGCTTAGAAGCAAATGGCTGCCGTACTGCATGCAATTCTTATTGTATAGTGATCAGTAATGAGGTTTGTCAAATAAACAACAAAAATAAAGTTCAGGGGGGATTAAACGACTGCTAATTACACTCAATACAAATAGAACCAAGAATCAGATCTCCAGTATTCTTATTAATATACTCCTTTTGCCTCTTGAGAAAAGGAAGCAAGAAGAGGTCAAATATGTAAGATGTCACTTTAAAGGTCCTATGAAGAAAACAGATGAGTACATTGCATTCTTTAAAGCTGATTTCTAGAAGAGGCCCCACGGTTATCCAATTGATAGTAGGGGAAAATTAATAAATCAGTCGGTTATTCTCAAATTCTGCTCTCTTCCAGCACTGGTATTCCAATGTAAGAATTTTATCTTTTTAAAATTTTTATCATTAATATTTAAGAGAAGTGTTTTTATTGAAGTTCCCAAAAGGATCAATACATAGACATTTCTCAACTTTAAATTTAAAATAGATTTTTCTTAGTCTTTGGTGTTTCTACCACCTTTCTCTGTCCAAATGTTATGCCTGATATCAAAACACCCCTGCATAATTGATCAGTTTCACCATTCACAGTAATGGTGTAGTTAAGCTACAAATTAAAATAAGAATGAGGAGTTAACAAATTTTTGGATGCAGACCCTGTGCCAAATGCTTTACATGAATTAAGTGGATTATCTCACTTAATCCATGACAACTCTATAAGCACAAGACCATTGAGAAGAACAGGCTGAAATGGGTTCAGGACAAGGCCCATAGACAGATAGTCCCCAGGCTTGGAAGCTATTGAGGCATGTAACGGTCATGTTTTGTTCTCTTAAGATTGTTTCTACAAACGGCCATAAGCATTTTGTTAAATGATTATTTTCTCCAAAGAAGGGATCTAAGACCTGAACAAAATTGCAAAACATAAGAAGAAATACATGAGGAAAGGAATGTTTAGCCCCTGCAACTTATGGCTCACAGGGTATTTGTTACTATCCACAACAAGTACCTGTGGTCTAATTGCAGAAGGCACACTGCCAGATTCAGTAGAAAGAGAATCAGTTAAAGTGTGTAGCTGCTGTAAATACTTACAGAAATGGTAAACTCCCATCAAAATCATGGCGGAGCATTTCTATTGTGTATATGTTCATCTTCATAGTTGTCCTCTGGTGTACTCTTGCAATAGGTACAACCTCTTTCCCTGGTGCTTAAAATAAAATGTAAGTACTTATCTACTACTGCGCCAGAGTTGTGCCAGCCCCTGGTGATCCTCACAGAATAGACCTTGAGGATTCCATCTCAATCCTGAGATCCAGAGATTCAGCAGTATTTCTATTTAGTTCAGAGAACAGAATACATTTCTCCATCCAATTTAAATATCAGTTGTTTGTGTAACATGTTTGTTAAGTGCAAAACATCTATGGTAAGGATACAAATCACTAAGTGTATATGTAGTTCAATGAATTCTTATAGTGAATACATTACTGCAACATCCAGATAGAGAAACAAAATATCAATAACATCCAGAAGCATCCCCACACCTTATATTTCCTTCTAGTAGCTACTCACTCCATTCAAGAGTAACTGTTATTCTGGCTTCCAATACCACAGATTAGTTTTGCCTATTTTCAAACTTTACATAAATACAATCATTCAGCATGTACTCCTTTGTTTCTGGTATCTTTCGCTGAGCATGATGTTTGTGAGATGTATTCATGTCACTGGATGCAATTGTAAATAATTCCTCATTCATTTTTTGTGTATTCTTCCCGGAAAAGCCAGAACATTCTCCTATATGTCTACTGGTGAGTACATTATTTTGTTGCCAATTAACTGAGCCAATAGATGGATTTATCTTTTAATATCAGTAAATACAGTACCTGATAGAGAAATACACAAGGTATTCTAAGAGATGGTTCTTCTCATTATTTAACACTGGCATTTTATTTTCAAGGTGAAATAGAAGTTGGTACTCTCACAGCTCTTTCAAATTCATCATCTTTACAAAGATGCCAAGACAAAAATTGTGATACTATATTGAAGCCATGAAAATCAAGCTCAGAGATGTAAATGAGTACCTTAGTTCTATCAGAAAGATTCCCCAGATCCTTCATATCTCCAGTGAATGAGTTCTATTTTTACACTTTCTTTAAAAGCCTGCAGGGATCTGTGAGGAAAAGAAGGACCAAAATAAGATTTACTTTTATTTTCCCAAACAGAGATTGGGAAATTAGCAGAAGAAACCAACCCTTTGTTCAAAAATATCTGGCATGAAAGTATAAACAAATGAAACAGAAAAAAGCAGATATTTCTGGATGAATGGTGGAAAGAGAGTGGAGACCCATCCTTCTGTCCTCTTCTGCTCAGCAATGGCAGCTCTTGGTGGTTTTTCAGAATGTCTGATACCCCCTCAATCCCTTATCACCACTAGGGGTCTGATAAACTAGTAAATGCTTGGCTTCTGCTTTTTGACTTGGATCTGAGGCTTTTTTGATCAATGACCACAATCGCAATCGCTTCTCAGAGGCAACATCCCCCACTTTATTTTTTCATGAGCTGCTGAAGGCTTTGACTCCCACCTGTAAACATTCTTTGTGAACCATCTTCCCACCCCTATTATAAGTCCAAGCTCATGGTTCATCTTCTTTATAGCACAAGGAAGAAAATGTAAGGTACCAGACTAATTCCGAGTTGCTACAGCAAAATGACTTCTAGTTAAAGAAAAAGTACGACCTGGATCAGACGTACCAGGAGCTCTTACACTTTGTTTTCAATCTTCCTTCATAGCCCCCACCATCAGTGGTACTCATCCCTACGCTAGGTACATGGTAGGTGGACAATAAACCCTTTCTTGATGAATATACAGGACTTATATTTGATTAGATGACTTTGCTTATTCACAAGCAAATTAAATGCTCAAGCATGATTATTGATTATAACTATCATTAAACTCTACTAGCTCACTTCACAGAGAATAGAACTTTCTCTTCTTTCTGTTAATAAAATAGAGTTTTCCAGTGCTGAAAATAGGCCCTTTCTCCCAAGTTAAAGTCCTTCCTTCTTTCATTGAATGAATATTTCTTGAGCACTTACCCTTCACCAGTCTAAGTGCTTGTAAACAAAACACAGGATCCCCTGCCTTCATAGAGCTTCCCTTCTAGTGGGTATTCATAAAATAAATAATAGATACAATAAATAAGTGGGTAATATAGAGCATTAGAAGGTGACATGCAATTTTCACAAGCAGAACAATGTGCCTAGAACTGAAGAAAAGACATATACACTATCACTGGATCTTTTACTTTCACTCTGAGTGATATGGGGGAATCACTGGAAAGTTTTAAGCAAAGGAGGGACTTGATCTCACTTGCATTTAAAAGATGGCTCTGGCTACCCTACTGAGCATAGCTAGTATGAGTGAGAGGGTGTGGAAACAAGGTAGATGGAGTGAAGTCTGTCTAAAGGGGGAGAGAGAGAGGCTGCAACCAAGGGGGTAACAGTGAAAATTAGGAGGGGTATTTTCTAGACATGTTTTAAAGGGAGAGCCGTCTGGCTTATGTATTTGACAAAAGAGAGATATCTAGGATGAATTCAATATCTCTGGCTGAACCACTGTGAAGACTGCAGACAGAACAAGTTGA